TGCCAATCGCTAAATCTGCTGCTACTTGTCAGAACAGCAAGGGGTTTATTACAGAATGCTTTGGGAATTACTAGAACACTAGGAAAGATCTTGTATGCTACATGGAGGATTTTTCCCATGGGAATCTGTGGGTGCCACCGTCCAAGGCACAAGCACAGCAACCTCTGCCACGCTGTGCTCCCAGAAGATAGGCTCTTGTTGCTTGAGCTTAGAAAGTTGCAGCAGAGAAAATGCCTGGGGGATGTAGCTCTGACCTGTCCAGCCTCTGCGAGAAGAGCAGGTTCACAGTCCAGAGCTGGATGAGCCTGGGTACAGGGAGTGAAGGTTGAGTTGCTGTTTTACTAGAGAGGATGTGAAAGACATATCTCTTATAAACAGTATTTAGCTATTCAGTGATAAAGTCATCAGTAGGTTGCCACGCACTCTAAAGATTTCCTCAACTACTTATAGAAGACATGGTCTCTGACTTCACAGCCTCACCCTCTACCATAAGGGGCAGTGGTGAGCGGAATTGCTATTCTTCCGGCTGCTCCACATTTCTACTGCGGTCTCTGGACTACCCTTCCCACTGTTCTTACTTCATTGACTGCGGTCATCTCCAGGAAGCTATCTTTGCATCTGCAATGATCCATGGGTGTCTGTCTTCCACATTTCACCAACTGTGAAAGGGACTGCTTTACGTATTCTCGTAACTTTAGTGCCTGGCACCTTGAAAGCAAACAGTAAATATGTCAGAGTGACATGAGCTGAATTTGTTAGCTCAAGAAATTGGGAGAAAGAGAGATGGGTATCCCTGACTGAGGAAACAGCACATTTGAAAGCAGAGAGGCAGGAGATCCTCATAGGTGCAGGGAAGTATACACAGGGCATTGAGGGGAACGCAGGACAAGCCTGTGGGGGAGGGGCTCCGGTGATGTCAGAGAATTAACAGAATAAGGATTAGGAGGGGTCTTAAGGGCTACGCAAAAGAGTTTGAGCTGATTTGCAGCTCAGGAAGCCAAATTGAAGATTTTTAAGCATATAAGGGAATTACATTATCAGATTTGTGTTGTTAAACAGATCTAACAGCTGGGTAAATGGAGGATTAGAAGAGCTCAGGTCAAAGCAAAGAGACCATAGAGAAGTTGTTCCAACAGTGAATGAGAAAGACTTCCAGGCGGTGGAAATAACATGAAGAAGGGGTGGGCTTGCAGGCCGATGAAGACTTAAGAGCACAAAGATTTGGGGACATACTCACTGTGGGATCCTCAGAAAAGGATCGTGTTTTTAACTCACTGTCACCTCCCACCTCATCCCTATGCACTTATCTCATGCCCCCAACTCTAAATTCCCACAGTAGGTGATGAATAATAAAGCCAGAATGTATTGCATCTATTTGCCATGTACAAAGGAACTCTAAATCTAGTGCTAGAAAAAGCTTTGACTATCACCCAGGCCAATAGCTGCTCTAGCACATGACTGAGCAAAGGAATGACTGACTTTTCTACAGTACCTCTGAAGATCGGGTGACGACAGACACCGTTACGTCACTGGCTTCATTCTCTACCGAGCACCTGTCTCTAATCTTTTCTTGTGTATTTACTTAAAGCCTGCCTCTCCCTGATGTTAGAATGTAATATTTAAGAGCAGAATCTTTCAGTGTTGAAAAACGTGTCTTATATATATATATATAGTAGGCACTTAATGAACATTTGTTGAAAGAGGAAATGAGCCAAGAATAATCAGGTTTGCTCCACCCTGAACCAGCGATCTTTGCACAGCCCCTTGGTTTGGAGGTTATCGAATGCAAAATTCTGTTTCCCACTTGGGCTTTGCATAATCACTTCTACAGAAGATAAAATTCTACTAAGTAATAACATTGTAGTTCATATGACTTCAGATAGTGAAGAAAAAAATCATTATATTACTTCAAAACTATTAACCACTGGCCAACTCACACCCATTCGGACAGCTGCTGCTGCTGGGAAAAGAGGGGCTGGTGAGTGTGTTGATAAATTGGAACCCGTGTGGTTGCCATGGAAAACAGTATGGAGGATTCTAAAAAAATTAAAAATAGACTTGCCATATGATCCAGCAATCCCGCTTCTGGGAACGTACCCAAGAGAGACAAAAGCAGGGTATCAAAAAGATGTTTGTACACAGAGTTTTATAACAATACAATTTCCAGTAGCGAAAATAGACAAGGAACCTAAGTATATAGCCCGGGCTGCCCATGAACTCAGGATCCTCTTGCCTCAACTCCTAGCTGGTAGGATTATATGTGTGGGCTGGCGTACCTAGCTAAAAGAAAGGAGATTCCAACACTTTCTACCTCATGGCTAAACCTCGAGGCTATTGTACTAAGTTAAATAAACTTAGTACAGTCATGAAGAGACAAAACCTGTATTATCTCACTTGTATAAGTACCTAGAACAGTCGAACTCACACAGACAGAAAGTGTAGTGAGAAGGGGAATTCAGAGCTGCTCTTTGACTGGCATAGAGTTTTAGTTTTCTAAGATGAAGCGTTCTGGAGATTGGTTATACAACACTGTAAATATGCTTAGCACTACTAAACTTTAAAATTTTAAATTGCTTAGATGGTACATTTTATGTTAAAAATATTTACCATGGGGTATATACATCTGTTATTTTATTCTGAACTGCTATTAGAAGTATAAGTCTCCCACCCCCTGTACTTTAAAAAGTATTTATTAGTTTATTATTATTTTTAAATTGTGTGTGTGTGTGTGTGTGTGTACATGAGTGACAGTGACTGCCACAGTCTTAACTGCTGCTGAGTTCTCTCTCCAGTACCCACCGCCATACTGAGTTTTTCTTTGTGATCACACCTCATTATGTAGCCCAGGCTGTCCTCAAACTCTCCATCCTTCTGTCTCAGCCGTGTGTGCTATGAGAACACCAAACATAGCTGAAGAGTTTAAAAGGGAGAATTGTTTCACCCCATCTCACGTAGACAGTAGCAACAACGGCTAACGTTGCTCAACTGGGAAGCTCCCCTGACTAGAGAAGGGCTGACCTGAGCCCTCAGGACCCTGAGTCCATGCCTGGTACAGTCAGGAGGAGAAGATGTAAAGCTGGTTTCACCGATCTGTTGGCCAAAGGATAGGAAACCAACCCTTGGTAATTTGTGGAAAGAACTATAAATGTGTGCTGGGGTGGAGGTGTGCAGGAGAGTGGGAGAGAAGGGGGGAAGAGGAACAGTACCAGGGAGCGTGAAAACCAGCTTGCAGCCACCTGCCTCCTGCTCCGTGTTGATTCCCTCCCTTCGCCCCTGACTAGAGAAGGGCTGACCTGAGCCCTCAGGACCCTGATTCCATGCCTGGTACAGTCAGGAGGAGAAGATGTAAAGCCGGTTTCACCAATCTTTTGGCCAAAGGATAGGAAACCAACCCTTGGTAATTTGTGGAAAGAACTATAAATGTGTGCTGGGGTGGAGGTGTGCAGGAGAGTGGTGGGGGGAGAGGAATAGTACCAGGGAGTGTGAAAACCAGCTTGCAGCCACCTGCCTCCTGCTCCGTGTTGATTCCCTCCCTTCCTAAATCTTCAGAGGGCAGGTGTGAGTCAACTGTAAACACAGTGAGAAAAGGTCACCCAACATTCCCTCAGTTGGCAAAATCCAAAGTCACTGCCATGGTGATGGTCTGTGTATATGAAATTCAAAGCTTGCACTGTGATCAGGAGAGGATAATGGCTCCTGCTTTTTGAAATGACCCTTTTAAAGGCCCTCCTACTTCCCACAAAGGTAAAAGATGCAAAAAGGCACGTACGAACATAGATGAGATCCAGTGGGAGAAGGGGAGCAGGAGAGAGAGTCAAGCCTGCGCCTGTTTGGCTGGACCAACACCCCACCTTCCTCTCTGCCGAAGGGTTGGGCTACCATTACCAAAACTCTTTTCATATGATGGATTTGAGCTGAAATCAGAGAGTCTCAAACACAAGAATATTATGGAAACCCTTTTAGCTTTTATTTATCAAGGTCCTGCTATGCGTAATGGACACTATGTACAGCAACTCTATTCCTTCTATAGGGTTCGTCATATATAACTGCACTTGGAGCTACGATCAGGTTGCACATGGTATTTGCCTGGATGAGAGAAGGTGGAGTCAGAATTTGGATATAAGCCTATCTGCTTCTAAAGCTTGCTCTTCCATCCACTGTACAATGTGAAATGCAAGAGCCAAAGATAAACGAGCTTTGGGAGCATTTAGGAGGCAGGAAAGCTGTTAGATGGAGCTTGACATCAATCGCGAAGTCCAAACAAAAACAGTTGACGTGAAGATGGGCAGTGCATTTTGTCTCACAATAGCACATAGGCCAGAATGGTGGG